TTACTCACCTCTGCTCTTTTCGCCTTGTATTTTTACTTTCTAAATAAATTTCTCCAAAACGTTACTTTATTACATTTTTTCACAATTGTCTCTGTTATCAGAAGAATTAAATTTAAGTAAACATACTTATTTGCAATTTGATGTTCATTCACTTTCTTCAGTTCTTAATTTTTAACATCCAAAGGTTAAATCTTCCAAAGATCTTTTTTAAAAAGTCGCACACATATATTGCTGCTCGATTGCTGAACGATAAGTTTCGATTATTTAACTTCTTTATGACCGAAAGAGTTCGATTTAATGCGCTTCAATTGATGGCTCAAGTTGGCAATCGTGTTTCGTGGGTGAAGGCCCGTCAACGTGGAAGCGACACCCCCATTTTCCTCGGCGAAGCGACGAATGAATAGACGAACAAACGCGAAACGGAAGCCAACGTCTTGTGGTCGCGACAATTTCGGAGGTTCTACACGGACGGTGCAGTTCGATGCACCTGCCGCTGCAACCGACTTGCGGTCTCAGATGTATTATAGAATACCTTGAAGTCCCGGATCGCAATATTACAATTTTCAGTCATCGTATTAATATTAATACCTTCGCCGAAATCCGCACAGGGTTTATTAAACTAATTCGACTGATAATAAGTAAAGTTGGTAATGATGGTAATTTATAAACAGGCTATTACTAGCAAAGACGATTGAATCGACAATTCGTGATTAATCGATCAATATAATGATGGCTGGAAAGAAAAGTTACATTGAAAAGTAAAAATTAGTACTTTCAATGTAATATTGTCAAGTTCATTTGTAAGGTTTTTCTTCGAATGAGAATTTCCTTTTTCTTTCTTTAGTGGAAGATCATCTGTGTGTTAGAAATTAAAAAGTTATTTGCTGTCCCTATTTATGAACACTTAAATATTTAAACAAATATGTTTTAAAATTATTATGATCGTAGCAAGAAAGTTCTATATCATAAATGTTTCATATAGTGGTCAGATACAGCCGCTTTAATATTTGAAGAACTTATATTTAAATGTTTCATTTTAGAAATTTTACGGCGTATAAATTGAATTTTAGCGTTGGTTAATGATAGAACAACAAGAAACAAGAATAATGAACTTTATATTCGTAGAATAGAAGCTTCTAGAGAATTACTCAAAAATTAAAAATGTCGAAATACACGAAGACTTAATATACATTGAGAATAAATATATCTACATTGCACATATCTGATTAGCAATAAATTACTTCAATTAAACGAGACACGTTTCCTTGTACGTTACATTAACTTACTAATGTAAATGTAAAATTTGAATCCTAATTGCTCAAAGACGATCGAAGTATTTTTTGTATAAGGTAAAGATTTTTACAATTTTTATTTCAAAGGAAGAAATTTTCACCAACGCAACAGTATGGAATTTCTCGTTACACGTTTTCGTGTCTGTTACGTTAACACTTTGCCAGAATGTAGGTTGCAGAAAATATTCTAAATTACTAGAATATAGGAAACGTGGCGATAAGCATCGGGTTTTTAAACACCGTTGAATTTTAACCATCAACAACGTAGTATCGGCGTTCCTCGAGCCGTGGTATCGATTAGCGATCTCGATTAGCTCTGCAAATCAAGATCGCACGGTGTACCAGTAGCACGAACGTGAACCTTCGTCTAGGTTGCTCGTTTAAAGCGTCCTCGTAAAAATAACGATTGCACACGTAGTCCCAGGATCATTAAAGAACTCATGGGTGCAATACGAGATGGCAGCCAAGCGAAACGTCGCATTTCGTTTTAACGTGACTGCTGGAGGCGTCTCACGAAGCTTGTCCACATCATGGTCGGATCGTTGCTGGTTTAAACGCTTCTTCTAAACTTATCCTTCAACCTCTTTTTATCGTGCTTTCATCTATTTCTTGCTGGTGTTGCTGCCGGTTTCTCACGTTGTTTTATTCATCGTAAAGTCAGTAACTCGAAGGTCTTTCATGCGGGTCGCTCCGCTATTTTCGTGACAAGCGACAAAAATTGATAATTGAAGTTTGAAGGAAATTCAACGATAAGAGAACGTACGCGTGTGTTGATTAGGGTGAAACTTTGGTTTGGATTTTGTCGATCGTGTTGAAAGATAGAAGCTGAAAGTGATTGAAAACCGCGAGGAAAAAATTTTAAAATTCAGTGCAATCAATCCCATGCTCTTTGAATTATGAAATTATATCTATTTGTTCGAATTGCCTGTTTTTTTTTCAGTTATTAGAATTCAGTTGTATAATCTCTAATATCTAGCCTTAGTAGCAATTATTTTTTAATGTACTTACTTGACAATGTCAAAAATGTTGCATCTAACATTAATATTAAAATATTGAAATATTTGATTCGATTAATTATTCAATAGTTACCAAGAATACTTGTGAAATATGTACTTTCGATTTTCATGTTGTTTCATTTACAAAGTGACACTAAAATTAGAAATTCAATATTTATTGAATCAATATTTGCAAAATACATTGTCATTAATAAATGTTGTAAATTAATTCAAAATAGACGATTCCTCATATATTGAAATAAGTTGTTCGATTATTCAAACAACGTGTGCTCTAATTAATTTGGATAATATTGTGATTCTATCTATTCTCGAAGGGCAAATTGTATCTACATATCTTCTTCGTATCTTCTTATTATAGAAAGGAGATGAAATAATAGAAAATGCGAATAATCGGTAGTATTTTAATTTTAAATTGAATTTCAGTATCTTCGAATTAACCTTTAATTTATTCGTCGCGTCTTTCAACAGGTAATATAAATGTAAAAGAGCAGCAATACCGTTGAACACATATTTATTCACGAACTTAAAAATTCTTCTGCGTAACTTTCATCGTTTCTATCTCGGTATCATCAAGTTTATCTAATAAAGTTCGACGCTGGTTGATTGCAGTTAATACTTTTTACGTAATTAAGAATTCCACGAGGATGCTTTCAATCGTGAACGTTGGAAAATCGTCGAAAATTCCTCGTTTTACGTAGCAACGTAAACATATTTGTTCACGTCGTAATTTTTCATTGAATGTTGTTGAATTAATTAAATCAAGCAATTTTATTAATCTTTGCATTTGTAGTTCTTGAAAATTCATGTGCACTGGGCATCTATAACATTTATATTGTATTTGTATTATATTTGTATTAAGATTCACGTAATTATTCAATGTCTGCAGTAGATTCGTTCAATACGTACGCACAAATATGTGTAAACACGTTTTATAGTGTATGTAGTTGAAGAGTTTCGTAGTTGAATAACTCTTCAGACAATCTTACGGAAACCAACGTTCCATTAAAACGTCTTCTATGCATAAGTATCTCCGCGACCTGCACACATACGTACACATGTACATTTACTACCAGCTAAAACTTTAGAATCACTTGTCTAGTTGTACGAACATCGAATCTCCTGCTAATTTTCTCTACCCACTCGGAGTTAATATCTGAGGTATTAACAGTAATCTACCTTACTTTGATAGATTTCAGCAGCAAAACATTTATGTAAATAACTTTAAATACATAATCTGCGTTTCGCAGAATTATTCTCATTTATTCTCGTACATTCGAATTTCTCTAAATTTTTCCTTCACTTGTTTTCTAATTTTTCCTACAATTCCTGCAATTTCTTAGTATTTAATACGTATGTTTTTGTTTTATACTATAATATAATATATAATGTGATGTAATACGTGTAAATATAATTATAGGATGAATTATTATTAAAAGAAAGAAAATTAGGAATGTAGGAATTTATTGAAATATATGTACAGAATAATGCTATAAATGTGAATAAATTACTTTGTCATATAATACAACAAATATAACATAGATATAGAATAATAAAATAATCTATTTTACATTTATACTGTTTTGGATTTTAATAAATTTCAGTAATCTAAATCTTTTCCCTTTCATTTCTGCAATTTTATTTTATTATATACAATTCTCTTATCTCTTTCATTCCTGCTTCTAAAAAAAAACAGGAATATACGCTCTTTGTGTTCTCATTCTCCAAAAATCCATATATTTTCCTCATCCTCGTATCGTATCAAAAACCTTCAACGTTTCTCGTGCCCTCGCTTTCCCAAAAATTAATATTCGTTCCCTTCGTCTTAACTTCTATAAAAATTCCTCGATGTCCTCGTATGTGTCTGACTACCACAGAAATTCCTTCCTCCCCCCCC